AATTATATTATATAAATAGAATATAAATCTTTTTTATTGTATATAAATAATAAAACATTTCTACATATAAAAAATAAACACAACACAATAAAAGAATTAAAAAAATTAATCTACAATTAAAATTAAATAAATCAAAGCCGAATGACAAAAGGAAGTACAAATGTAGTTTGGGTTTTCATTGCAGCGGATAACTTGGCGGGTCGAATTAGCCAAGCAGCAACGGCAAGCGATAGCACTGGCGGCAACGCAGGTCGCACCAGCAGCAACGCAGGCCGCTCCAGCGGCAACGCAGCACCGACGGCAAGGCAAAATCAGTGGCAACGATGAAGTTCTAGAGATGGAGATTCCGCCGTCGCTGGAGAAGAAGAACAACTAATTTTAAAATTCTTAATTATCATCCATAATCTCAGAATAATTTAGTTTCTATAAACGTTTAAGGTCACACGATCTCACGATCTCACAATTTTGTGCATGATATTAGATCATTTTTCAAGACCCACGATTTTTGTCCGATTTAGATCGTTGAAGCTACTTAACATCGTAAAATCGTGCGATCTTACGATTAAGATCGTGATTTTAACAACCATGCCTGCACCTGCACCTGCACCTCCACCCTTGCCTCTCCGCTTTCACCTGCACTTGAACCTCCGCCCCTGCCTCTCCGCTTCCATCTCCACCTCCACTCCCGCCTATTTTGTTGTCTCTTAAAAAGGTTATTGAACACCGATCAAGCCAGCTACAGCTTTGCTTTCATTTCTGCCTCGGCCTTCTCCACCCCCATTTCAAACAAATATTTCAAGACAGAAATCGGAAAGGATTTCAAGATCGGTAGGAAATTGCAAGGAGGTAAGAATGAAGATGAAAAATTTCAAGATCTCATTGCGTTTTGAAGAACTTGTCACCTGAAATTTCCAGATCTCCTTAAGCTTTCGCAAATGGAGAACGAAGCCGATTAAAATTAGGGATTTTATCCTGACTCAAAAAAAACCAAAAGGCCCACCAGTTGTTTGTGGAGCCATAAAATCATGTTTACATGGCTTCCACATGGCAAAGTAATGACATGTCAACATAATTTTTTTCAAGTGGCGGGTGAAGTGTGACGGACATTACAGAGTTAATAAGAGATTGGATGGAAGTTAGTTTTCCATCCAATTGGTACCTTATTTGAGAATTGTGTATAGTTTGAGATCTTAATTGAATGCAATTAAAGTATGAATTCAAAATTGTGAATTATGTATAAGTTCGGGTCTTATGTCATATTTTTGCCGTTACAATTTGGGATTGTCCAATTAATGGTTTTGGGTGACTAAGAGAAAAGGATTGTTCAAATTAAAATATTAAAAATGATAATAAAAAAATTTAAATATTTTT